TCTGCTTATTTGAGAGACTTTTAACTGCTTTTTTATATTATTTATTTATTTCTATAAAAAATGTTAACCTTTGTCATTTTCTGAATTTTCTTCAATGCACAATGTTTACATTTTATTGTTTTTTATTTTTATGTTTCATCATACCTTTTATTTGTATTATTACCTTTTATTATAGGGTACAACGGGGCTAAAGGCCCACCTGAAGAAAAAATGTGCCATTCACTGTGCCGAAAATGTATAATTGCAGAATAAATATATACATTGTATTGAACATTAATGGAGCAACAGCTTTTGTGTGAAAATAAATCATTCAAGTAGTTTATTTTGTTTAAAAAGGCTCACCAGCACGGGGTAAAAGGCACACGGTATTGATACAAATACTTCAGCTAAAATAATGCTTTTTTAAATAATGTCTAAGTTAATACTTGTTCAAAACCATCACTTTAGCAAAGTTTGTACTATTTTCTGCTTATTTTGAAAAATAAAAGAATTAATTTTTGTTCAATAAATATACTGTCATTAAAATATGTTCATATAAAAACTATATTTTAAAATACAGAAACAAAATCGTTTTAATAAGTAAAGATTCTGAAAGCATTGAAGGAGATCCAATAATAAGTGAATATATATTTACAGTAGTAACAACAAATGATATTTTATTATTTGATATGATTAATATCATGTTTTTAAATATGATGGTTTCATTCTAAACATGGTGATTATCTCTAATATGGACACCCAACATAATATATGATATTTACCATCTGAACCTAACCATGTCATGTCAACAAATGGAAAGGTCAGCCAGCTATTAATTATCATGTTAATTACTGTGCGCCAACAGCAGGGGCGCTTTTTACCCCAAATACCATACTTTTACATATTCTTTCGTTATTTAAAAATTGTTGCTTTAATTATCTTAAACAAAACTGAAAATCATAAAGAAGACCTTTGTCTCAAAATATATGCATTAATTTTAGCGATTCTCATTTGCTACTTAAATCTACAACATTTAAAAAAACATCAAATATTAGATCAAGCAAGCACAGAATCAACTTTGCGCTGCTGCGCACGATCGCATCAAGGATCAGACAAATATACACGTGCATTTTGAAAAGTTTTGTTAAGTGCTACGCCACGTTTTTGTGCCATCTAGTGGTTTAGATGAAAATAAGATCAAAGGCGCCTTTTACCCCGGGGCACCTCTATTTTCATGCTACTACTCATTTTTTCAGCTATCTATTCCATTAGGTACTAGTACTTATTTGTTGACTACTACTGCTTATTCTTTATACTAGTACAAAAAGGCTCACCAGCACGGGGTAAAAGGCACACGGTATTGATACAAATACTTCAGCTAAAATAATGCTTTTTTAAATAATGTCTAAGTTAATACTTGTTCAAAACCATCACTTTAGCAAAGTTTGTACTATTTTCTGCTTATTTTGAAAAATAAAAGAATTAATTTTTGTTCAATAAATATACTGTCATTAAAATATGTTCATATAAAAACTATATTTTAAAATACAGAAACAAAATCGTTTTAATGAGTAAAGATTCTGAAAGCATTGAAGGAGATCCAATAATAAGTGAATATATATTTACAGTAGTAACAACAAATTATATTTTATTATATGATATGATTAATATCATGTTTTTAAATATGATGGTTTCATTCTAAACATGGTGATTATCTCTAATATGGACACCCAACATAATATATGATATTTACCATCTGAACCTAACCATGTCATGTCAACAAATGGAAAGGTCAGCCAGCTATTAATTATCATGTTAATTACTGTGCGCCAACAGCAGGGGCGCTTTTTACCCCAAATACCATACTTTTACATATTCTTTCGTTATTTAAAAATTGTTGCTTTAATTATCTTAAACAAAACTGAAAATCATAAAGAAGACCTTTGTCTCAAAATATATGCATTAATTTTAGCGATTCTCATTTGCTACTTAAATCTACAACATTTAAAAAAACATCAAATATTAGATCAAGTAAGCACAGAATCTATGTTGCGCTGCTACGCGCGATCGCGTCAAGGATCAGACAAATATACAGGTGCATCTTGAAAAGTGGATGTTTTGGAAAGTGCTACGCCATGTTTTTGTGCCATCTAGTGGTTTAGATGAAAATAATATCAAAGGCGCCTTTAGCCCCGTTGTACCCTACCTTTTATTTGCATTTTATTAAATGTTGAAACTTAGGGAGCTGGTCTCATTAGATGTTTTTAAAGTGATTTTAAATGATTTGGAGACAGAAACATCTGGTTGTAAATGCTTTGTCTGATTTAGTTATTGATTCCCTTTCTTATTATTTGTTATTTCATTTTGTCTGTTTGTGTGTTATGGGTGGATGTTATTTGTTAGACTCTCTTTGTTAGAGATTTTTAATCTCGGTGTGATTTTTTTTCTGGTAAAATAACGGTTATAATAATAGTAGCTAATAATAATAATAAAAAAAGAAAAAGCAACATTCTTGCACAATATAGCAAATTTTAATGTCGCACATGAAACGCGTCATCATCACATGATCCACATTATGCCTCTCTACCATATACTGTTCTTGATTTTTGAGCATTAAAAAAAAACTGCGCCTCTCTACCATAGACTGTATAAAAACATGGACGTAGTGTCCGTGACGTCACCCGTAGATTTACGAAGAGCATTTTTGAAGCTCAAAGTGGGCGGAGGCGGCCGTCGCCATCTTGGAAGCGCGTCACCGCGCGTCACTCCCGGATAATCGAAAATGGGCAAAGAGGCGGGAGATGGTTGCTGAAACCACGCCCACCTAGCTCGACGGTGGTGACAGCAGCGGCAATCCACCTGTCACTCAAGTGGCCACGCCCTTAATTATGCAGAAATTTAAGGCTTAATATAATTTAAACGGATGAGTTATAAAAAAATTCATCC